CTATCCTGTAAAAATAACTTCCTAATTCATTTGTCATCAATTTAACACATGATGAATTAAGTGTATTTCAAATAAACACTGACAAAATTATTTTTTTGTTGCATTTTTCTCTTATATTAAATTGATGTAACTTTTCACTTTTTGTGAAAATCCGGCGCCCAGACTGGGAATAGAACCCAGAGTGCCAGCGATGTAGGCCGAGGATTAGCCTAGTGAGCCATGGCACCGGCCGGTCCCTTGGCTTTTAATGGGAGCCTAATTCACTATCTCCTCTGTTCAATTCTCTGTCATTTCCTCCTGAATTTCCTGTTTTGAGTCAAGGGTGCTACCTTCTTCTTAGTCTTGGAAGTCTCTGCAAACTCTATGTGCCTGCTGTGTCCTGTGTCCATGTGAGTTGATCTCACCTTGGCCCCTCCTGCCTGGCGTGTCCTTTGTCCACAGGTGAGTTGATCTCACCTGGGCCCCAACTGCCTGGCATGTCCTATGTCCATATGAGCTGATCTCACCTGGGCCAGTTCTTCCCCTTCGCACTGTCATGGCCCTGGTGCAGATCTCAGGTCCCTCCTGCTCTGCAAGCTGCAGCACCCTCTCAATGTCATGCCCCGTTCCCTGGCATGGCTCTTTCCAGCCTACTTGTCACAGGGTAGGGAGAGTTTGCACCTTCTGCTTAGCTCGGGAACCTGTGGGCTGGCCTTGTGTACCCTGTGAAGTCTTGGCTTTATCTCAAGGACACTCATGGTTTGCTTCAAGCCATCTTTTTAGCCTGGTTTCATACTTTCCCCATCTACATAGTGAGTATTTGGTTTACTGGGCATTTTTGGTTCTTGGAGCAGGTCATGTAGTTGGTGCTGTTCCTGCCTGAGCAGAAGCTCTGGGCTGCTCCTTTCCCCAGCTCCCCTGCTGTTAAGAAGTCAGGGGATTCCTCCTCCTCTCCTTTTGATTACCTGGCTGAGATCTCAATGAGAGCATTTCATTAGGCTCCTAGTGTCCCTTAGCTAGCTGATCTCTCCCTGTGTTGTGCACTCATGGGGACAGGGATCCTGCTGTCTTTCTTTCCCTGTAAGTTGGGCAGTCTGTGTGGAGCTGAACGACTTCACATTGTCTTTTCTGAAGGTTTAATAACCCAGGCAGAGTGAGAGTCAGGAGTTAGAGGACCGATGTTTCTCTTCAAGAGATGGTATCTCGCTGAGTGGTGTCAGGGAGGGTCTTCCTCACAGGATGATGGCTGCTTAGGCAGTGTCTGTGTGCTGGGGGGAGTGGAGTGAAATCTGGGCACGTGGGGGAGGAGTGGCAGACCCCCGACGTGGGGTGAGTCTCTGAGCCTTGGCTTCCTAATTTGTGGAGAAGGGATGGCAGTGTCTATGTGTGTCCTGAGTTTGCACTGTCCTGGATGTCTGTCGCTGCTGCCACGGTCATCTCAGGTCTAGGAATGCCCTGCATTCAAACCAAGGCACCTTGCAGCTTCTGTCCACCTCTGACCTTTTATGGTGCTGGGTTCTGTACCCGGAGGGAGGGTTGTAGCAGGCCCCGAGTTTTCTTTGTTAAAGCTTTTTGAAAATTCAAGTTGAAGCATTTAAAAAATTTTGTTTATTTATGTAAGAGGCTGAGTGACAAAAAAGAGAGAGAAATCTTCCATCCAGTGGTTTACTCCACAAATGCCTGCAACAGCCAGGGCTGGGCCAGGCCAAAGTTAGGAGCCCAGAGTTCCTTGCAGGTGTCCCATGTGGGTGGCAGGGACACAAGCACTTGAACCATCACCTGCTGCCTCCCATGGTGCTCATGAGCAGGAATCTAGATCTGTAGCATGGAGCAACCAAGACTGAACCAGACTCTCCAGTGTGGGATGTGGGTGTCCTAAGCTGCAGACTAACCTGCTGCACCTCAGTGCCTGCCACAGTTGAAAGCATTTCAATGATAAATTTTAGCTTACAAATTATGTATGTTCCTTTTAGAAATCTTAAAAAATATAAATGGATAGTAAAAAAATAATTCCTCATCCTGCATCCTAACTGTGCATAGACAGGCACACTTAACATTCTATGTGTTTATTTAGTACTGTATATTCTTTTTAAAAATTGGATTGATTTTAAAAATGGAATTTATTGGCTGGCACCACAGCTCACTTGGATAATCTGCCTGCCTGCAGCACCGGCACCCCAGGTTCTAGTCATGTTTGGGGTGCCGGATTCTGTCCTGGTTGCACCTCTTCCAGTCCAGCTCTCTGCTGTGGCCCAGGAGGGCAATGGAGGATGGCCTAAGTGCTTGGGCCCTGCACCCACATGGGAGAACCGGAGGAAGGCATCTGGCTCCTGCCAGAGCAGCCGTAGCAGCCATTTAGGGGGTGAACCAATGGAAGCAAGACCTTCTCTCTGTCTCTCCCTCTCTCACTGTCTAATTCTGCCTGTTAAAAAAATAATAAAAAATTTTGCCGGTGCCATGGCTCACTAGGCTAATCCTCCACCTAGCGGCGCCGGCACACCGGGTTCTAGTCCCGGTCGGGGCGCCGGATTCTGTCCCGGTTGCCCCTCTTCCAGGCCAGCTCTCTGCTGTGGCCAGGGAGTGCAGTGGAGGATAGCCCAGGTGCTTGGGCCCTGTACCCCATGGGAGACCAGGAAAAGCACCTGGCTCCTGGCTCCTGCCATCGGATAAGCGCGGTGCGCCGGCCGAAGCGCGCCGGCCGCGGCGGCCGTTGGAGGGTGAATCAATGGCAAAGGAAGACCTTTCTCTCTCTGTCTCTCTCTCTCATTGTCCACTCTGCCTGTCAAAAAATAAATAAATAAATAAAAATAAAAAAAATAATAAAAAATTTTACAAAATTGAATTTATTTTATAAATCTGTATTTTGATTTTTGAAGTAGCATAAAACTTTTCCATATTATGAAGGTTTTCTGGGAGTCAACTAGAAAATGGTAGATCCCTCTCCTCCCTCTCTCTCTTTTTTTCCTCTCTCTCAGCCTCCTTTGCCTTTCAAATAAGATGAAAATAAATTAAATTAAATGCCTGTGATAGGGGTTGTGCTAGAGACTTGATATCTATATATGTACACATTCACACATACATAACACATATCCCAGTAAGCAAATAATTCTTAACCATAAGACCCAAAAACTCTAAAACGACTAGAGGAAAGCAGAGGGAAAGGTCCTTGGCATCGATCTGAGCAGTAATTTCTTGGATGTGACCCCAAAGGCGTGGGTGGCAAAAGCAAAAATTAGACATATGAGATTGCATACAAGAAAATCTTTCTCCAAGCAAAGGAAACAGATGGGATCTCTCTGTCTCTCGTTCTCTGTCTGCCTTAACCTCTCTGTCTCTGACTTTCAAAAAAAATTAAACAATTTTTTTTGTAGTAAAATAGGTCAGGAAAGCAAGGAAGATGGAAGAGGGGATAACAGAACAGGATACTTTTCTTTCCCTGAGGTTGGTATCTGAAGAACGTGGGGGTTATTCAGGGTGAGTACAGATGCGTTAAGGGGCTGTGGCGGCCCTGCCGGGACCCTCGGTGCCTCCCAGCAGTCAGGCAGGAGCAGGAAAGGACACAGGGTGCCGGCAGGTTCAGCGGCATCAGGCACTGAGACCACAAACGCAGTCCTGCAGAGAGGAGTCTCCTACAGGGACCCAAGCCCTTGGACCACCTTCCATTGCTTTCCCAGGCATACTAGCAGGGAGCTAGATCAGAAGTGGAGCAGCTGGGACACAAACCGGCACCCACATGAGATATCAGTGCCACAGGCGGTGGCTCAACCAGCTACACCACAGTGCCAGCCCGAAAATAAATGTCTTTAAAGATTTTTAAGACCGACCAGGTGTGGGCAAGACCCAGTGGAAAATTAAACTCAAGGTAGGGAAGAGAAGGTGACTGGGCTGCACGTCTGCCAGTTGCCACCTGCCGGTTGCTATGCATGTCACCCACACCCTGCATCACCAGCAGTAAACACCCTGTGGGGCTGCCCAGCACACAGACGACAGACAAGAGTGTTTGCTCCCGGGGTTGCACTGGGACTTGCTGGGAAGAAAGCTGGGGAACTTTCTGGGGTGATGGAAATGTTCTGTATTATATCTTGATGAGGGCTTAGATTACACAATGACATGGGCCAGCATCTGTTGAAACTCATCAGATGAAACATGTTAGACCTGCACATTTCAGTGCATGTGCATTTTATCAAAAACATTGAGCTCAGAAGCACTCACAGGTGCTTCTGAAATCCGGAACTTTAGACAAGATACTGGGCGGGGTGGGGGGTGTAGGTAGGATGCCAGAGAGATGTGTTACAAGGCAAATGCAGCAAAATGCTAAGTATGGAAGCTACACAACAGGCACACAATTGTTTAGATAGGATTCCTGCAAGTCTGCAATGAATACTGTCCTGATAAAAGGCAGGAAAGAAAGGGATGGCTGACACGGGACTGAGTTCCAGAAAAGTTCAAAGGCACAGCAACAGCAAAGGAAACAGCAGCCCAGAAAGGTGGAAAAGCTACACCTTGGGCTTGGCACTGTGGTGCCGAGGGTTAAGCAGCCTCCTGCAATGCTGGCGTCCTTCGGAGGTTTGCCCAAGTGCTTGGGCCCCAGCTATCCACATGGGAATCCTGGATGGAGTTCCTGGCTCCTGGCTTCAGCCTGGCCCAGCCCTCAAGTGCTTAATCAGGAGGCAGCCCTGGGCTGCAGGAACCACAGGATGGGCCTGTTCCTGTCTACCAGTCTTCCACTCAGTAACCAGTCTGCTGAGGATCTGACCCCTGTTCAGATCCAGTAATGGGAACCAAGGGCACGAAGGGGTCAACTTCATGCCTGTAGCATGTGGTATTTGATCTCCACCCCCATCAGGACTGCACCAAACTAAAGGAAGCTTTGAGGTTTTCTGAACAGTAGCTATGTAAAATATCGCTTGTAAAGGCAACAACGCAAACTTCCCAGGTCTGACGCACTGACCACACCTACCCTGGTAGTGAGCAGTTTGGAGGTGACCTGCAGTGTCTCCAGGGGTTCCAGGCCAATGTTTCTAAGGTGACGATGAGTTGATGAGTCTCCCCGTTGAACAGCTGCATAGACACGTTGGTAGATATCTCGTCACCAGAGGAAGGCTGCAATGAGTGTGCCGATCTAAACCAAAAGCAGGGAGAATAAACTGAAGGAAGAAACCAACACTGTGCAGGAATGATTCACATCAGGGGCCGGTGCTGTGGTGTAGTGGGTAAAGCCGCTGCCTGCAGCACCAGCATCCCATGAGTGCCAATTCAAATCCCAGCTGCTCCACTTCCAATCCAGCTCTCTGCTAATGTGCCTGGGAAAGCAGGGGAAAACGACCCAAGTGCTTGGGCCCCTGCACCCATGTGGGAGACCCAGAAGAAGCTCCTGGTTCCTGGCTTTGTCTTGGTCCCAGCTCCAGTCATTTGGGGAGTGAACCAGCAAATGGAAGATCAATTCGCTTTCTCTCTCTGTCTTTCAAATACTAAATTAAAAAAAAAAAAAAACTGATTCACATCAGGTAAAAGGACGACCACATTTTGGCATTTCAGAAATAGGAGCTAGAGAATCTTGGCTTTGAATGAGAAATTTGGGAGCCAACCATGCTAAGAACAAGTCAGGTTCTGTAAGCCAGGCATATGACGCGCCTCGGCTCCAGGCTCCGATCAGAGGCAATGTTTTTTCCCAAACCAAATCCTGAGAAAAAAAACAGCACAACAGGTTGAGGCGATTTCCTCTGTGCCATCTATAACAGCGTTCCTCACTCCTAGGTCAGGGAAGGAAAGCCGATGCACAACCTCCCTGCATGACCCCTGTGCAGCTTGCACATCAGTCCCTCCTGGGGGAAGGTTTCGGGAGGTAACAAAACTCAGCCAGAACTAATCACTGGCCGTCTCGCACAGCAGGGTGTCCAGGCCCTCTGTGCTGCAGGGGACAGGGGCGGAAGGAGGCACCCACAGTGCAGGAGCCCCGGAGCCACGAGGAACGGCATCAGAGTGAGACTGCAGCTGGCACTGCTGCAAAGGCACACTCGGGACATGGCACTGGGACCCAGCTCCCACCAGCAGCACTGTCCTCCTCAGCCCTGCGCTGGCTCCAGAGCCTTCCCAAGGCAGGAACGATGTTTCTGTCTGTTTGCTATCAGCTCCTTGCCATACACCTAGTGTCTAATAGGTACTCACTAAGAATGCACTGAACAGACTGATAAGCACCTCAACTCTGAACCTCCTGTGTGGCATATAAGAGCATCTCGTCAGTGTCTGCCCGAGCCCAGGACAGAGTGACCACTGTGTGTTCAGCGGCTGTTTGCTTGGTGCCTGGCCTGGTGCAGCATCTCTCAAGGGCGGAATGCAGGGGCTGGTGTTGTGGTGTAGCAGGTGAAGTCTCTGCATGCAGCACTAGTATCTCTTAATGGGTGCCGGTTCAAGTCCCAGCTGCTCCACTTCCAATCCAGCTCCCTGCTAATACACCTGGAAAAACAGTGGGAGATGGTCCAAGTATCTGAACTCCTGCCACCCACATAGGAGACCAAAATGAAGCTCCTGGTCCTGGCTTCAACCTGGCCTTTGTGGCCATTTGGGGAGTGAACCCACAGATGAGACCTCTCTCTCTCTCTCTCTCTTTCTCCAGGTGTGTGTGTCTGTGTGTGTGTGTGTGTGTTTCTCTGTAACTCTGCCTTTCAAATAAAAATAAATAAGTCTTTAAAAAAAGAGACTGGAAGGAAGGCACAGCCCCATTGTGCCCACACACAAGCCATCAGGCCACGGGCCTAGCATCATTCCTCCTGCCAGCTCTGTGGCCCCCCAATGCCCACAGGGTTCTTCTCTTTTGCGTGACTGACCAACAGGGAGGCCTGTGTCCACTGTGCCATGTGCTGAGCTCACTTCTTTCTCTGGGGAGCTGCTCTCCAGGGCTCTGCATGGGTCCCATCCTGCTGTTCTCAGTCGTATTTCACTCCCTTCTTTACGGTCTGTGTTTGACCATGCTTTGTAAATCCCACACTTTCTATGGAGCCTTCCTGAACCCCACAAGACAGGGTCAGCGTCCCCTCCTCTGGTTCACATTACAGGAGCAGTCAGCAAATCCCAATGATCACACCAACCCCCTAAAGCCCCCATACCCCCGACAGGGAGCTCTTCTAAAGGGTCATGGCCTAGGTCAGGGTCCTGGAGCACAAGGTGGTGTTCGCAGATGCTGGTGAGTGCATTTCACCAGTCACAGGGGCCTTTATAGCAGATTAGTTACAATCAACACCTAATTAATCAAGAGTCACTTGAAGAAAATACTTATTTATTTATTTATTTATTTAAAAGGCAGAATTACAGAGAGAGAGAAAGAGCACTTCCATCCACTGGCTCACTTCCCAAATGGTTGCAAAGGCCAAGGCTGGGCCAGACCAAAGCCGGAGCCAGGAGCTTCTTCTGGGTCTCCCACGCAGGTGCAGGGGCCCACGCACTTGGGTCATCTGCTGCTGTTTTCCCAGGCCATAGCAGGGAGCTAGATTATAAGGAAAGCAGCTGGGACACAAACCAACACCCATATGGGATGCCAGTGTTTGCAGGGCAGCAGCTTTACCCACTACACCACAATGGCCAGCCCAGAGAAATAGGGGGTCTTTTGAAAAATATGTCTTATACCATTTTTCAGTAAGAGATAAAAGGCAGCCATCCTGGCCTTCAGTGCCCATGCTGAAGCATGTGTCGGGAGAATGCGTCAGTGCGTCTCCACTGCTCAGCTGCACCCCAGGTGTAAATGGGCCATATTTGGTTCCTGTGTCAGGGCCCTGCTTGCCTGTCTTGCTCAGCGGCAGCCCAGGTACAAATGTGCCACATTTTGTTCAGCCACTTGCCAGGCAATGGGCATCCAAGTTCTGCCTGCTTTCGGGACTATTACAAAAAATGCAGCTGTGAACATTCATATACAAGTTTCTGAGTCACTGTGTGCTTTCCTTGGCCTTGGGTAGACACCGAATTTCTGAGTCATATGGTCAATTTACGTTCAACATTTGTAGAAACATGGCAAGCATGCAGACTTCTCCAGCACCACACATGGCTACTGCCTGTCTTCTGAGGACAGCCACCCTGGCAGGTGTGAGCAGGAACCCCACATGGTACCAGCTCCAGAAAGATTGATGATGCCACACACCTTTCCAGGTTTGCTCGTTAGCTCCTGGGAAGTCTTTCAGGGGGGGAGAGCTAGCCCATACTTCTGCCAACCTTTCTAATTTAGTTGTTTGCCTTCTTAGTTTGGGTGTTAAGTAGCAGATCCTTACCAGAGACATGATGTACAATATTTCCTTCCAGCCTGTGAGTTGTCTGTTCATTTTCTTAGTGGTATTTCTGGAAGCACAGCAGTTTTTAATTTTGATGAAGCCCAATTTATCAGTGTTTTTTTTCTTTGTGGATCTTGCTTTTGGTGACATGTCAAAGAACTCTTTGGCTAATACAAGGTCGTGAAAACTCTCACCAGCTTTCTTTTCAAAGGCGGGTGCTCTGAGCTCTCACAGTCAGGTCTGGGATCGGCTTTAGAATTCATGTTTCCTGCATTTCATTGCATTCCCCAATCACCTGATGCTTTCTCCACCTCGACAAATGCTCCCAGCTGCCCACTGTGCATGGCTAACTCCTGCTCCCAGCCCCTCACGGCCACCAGTGGGGACCGGAGGGCAGTGGCCATGCTGGTTCTGCCTTCTCCCTCTCTCCCACTGAACATAGCCTCCTTGAGCACCAGGCCCCAGAATGCTGGGCCCACGGTTTCAGCTCTGGCGCCTGGCCCACTGCCTAGCAAGCAACAAGCATGTATCAGACACACAAACCAGTTAAAACCTTTTAGAAAATCTCAGACATCCTAAAAATAGCCAAAGGATGTCGAAGAAGTGTCACCCCTGAGGGCAACAACTGAGAACGGCCTAAATCCAACAGCAAGGAAAGGGCGGTTATGAAATCCTGAGATATCCTCAGGCTGTCCTTTTTAAACGCAACTAGAAACCTTTTTTTAAGACTCTGTGAAAGTGTGAGGAAAAGCTTATTAATGTGATTTCACAAAAACTCATCTATGACACCGTGTTCAGAAAAGTGTTTTCTAAAGTGGCAGGAAGCACCTCCAAGCATTCACAGTGACTGGCTCCAGGCCTCCCAACAGCCACTTCCCTTTCTCCTTTATGCTTCCCAGTGATGCTGAAAATCTAAAACAAAAATAAAACAATCCCATATGGGTGCCAGACTTCCACAGTAGAGCCGCTGGTCTTTATTCCAGGAGGTGGTCCAGCAGGCAGTCACTGACAACACCAAAGACGGTGGGTGTGTAACCTGGGACACAGGAAAGTAGAGACCTCACAAACTCCCAGCAAAGTTCCATGCCCTGTGTCCACCTTCCTGTCCACTGCTGAAGTCCCCAACCAGCAAGGGCAACCCTGCAGCAGACCTGGGTCCTGGTGCTGGCTCCGTTACCTGCCAGTCCCTGCTCACAGCCTCAACATTCCTCGGGCTCCTCCTCTGTGGTGGGATTACAACAGCACCTGTACTCCCATCCCACCAGGCTGACTGGGCCCAATTGGAAAGCTCCTGTAAGCCATCAATCTCTGCACAACCCGTAGTCAGCATCTCAGCCCGGACTCACTTGCTTTTCAGATTTATCCATCTCCACAGTGAGGATGGCAGTTAATATTCCTTCCCGGGACATAATGTAATTTAATGAGTATTTGAAAAATGCTTCAGAACCTTCTGTTGAGAGACGAAAGTTCAAGAGCCAATTATTATTATTGCAGCAGCTTTGTGATGGGGTGAACTGGCTGTGTGTGTGTGTGTGTGAGCACTGCCGTTTAAGATGAGCAAATTTCCCACTGGTAGATAAGCACTTGAAACTATTTAAGCAAAGCTGTAGAACGGCTTTGAAATTTAGCTAATTATTGTCAACAGCATTTACTGTGCAAAAATGAAACCATACCCAGTGGCTCGAGGCTCAGGTGACAACCTGCCTACACTTGTGCCTGAGGTGTGCTCAGTGGAGCCAGCATGGCTTTCAAGGGCTCCCGGGCCCCAGCAGCCTCCTCGGTCCTCCTGAGGTTCCTGCTGGCTGGGAGCTGCGCTCTCAACACCATCCAGCTCACCCTCCCTCAGAGGGTGGGCTTGTCAAAACACCCCTGCAATGGGCAAAACACTATTCTCCCCACAACATCCATACTGGAACCAGGGTCTCTCGCATTTCCCTTTCAACAGGAACCTGATATATGTTTCGCCTGCTGAGCAACCACTATTTTATAATCCCTAATTAGAATCAGGCCTTTCCTTACCATTGCTGAAAATGGCTGTCACATAATCTGATGACAAAGACTTGGGGTCCACAATTACTGTGCACAGCAGTACAGGGTCAGCCCGTCTAGCTTTGTGCACAAGACACACCAAAGAACAATGCCAACTGCTCTGCAAGAGATGCACAGCTCAGGGACCACTAAGTCCACACAGTGGAGGAAGTGGAAAAGGATAGGGCACTTGCAAGACAGCAAAGGTAGAGGAACAATGTGTAACCCAGCAGGAAGGCTCGCAGAGGAGCACAGAGATGGACCACACAGGGCTGGGGAACTTGGCCTGATGACGAGGGAAAGTGACTCCCACTGGTTGACCACGACGCCTTTTAGAGGAGAGAGGGTCTCAGAGGAGACTGCTTTGGGGAGGGGAGGCAGTACACTTGGGTTGGACGTGTTGAACACGCATGTCCCACCCGCTGGACACCAGGGGATAGCTGGGAAGTGCTGGGGCACAGGCCAGGGAAGGGTACCTGACCCCAGGTGGTCAGCAGTCTGCGGGCTGTGAGGCAGAAAAACACTGTGGGGCTGGGGACACCCTCACCAGCAGTGACTTACGGAGGACAGAGAGGAGGACAAGAAACACAGAGCGAGGGCACCTGTCAAGGGCTGGGCTGCAAGGGGACACCTGCATGAGACCAGCAAAACTGAGGAAGAAGGGCCAAAGAGACCGCGGAAAATCTGGAGGGTGTGGTGTACCAGGCTGGAGGACACAGCTCGCCACACATGCAGGGTGGCAAATGAGCACTAAAGCTCCAAGCAAACCAAACCACTGGTCCCAGGTTTAGGCAGAAAAACGCCACTAGTGATGCCACAGACAGGTGTCCTGGTGAAGGGATAAGGGTTAAACTCAGGACGTGGAAGGGGCAGGAACATGGCACTGGTGGCAGAAGCGACTCAGTGTGCACAGCCAACTCTCCCAAGATCCAGCAGAAGACAGGGGCTTCCTGAGAGCACATGGGACATCGTGGCATCAGAAAAAGTCAGGATGCAGAGGTAGGAACCAAGCTGTTGGAAGACTGTCTGGAGGAGGAGGCAGACAGAGCACAGGAAGGGCCCCGCCCAGCGCAGCAGGAGCCTGGCAGGTGCCAATCACACTCCAACAACTTGCACCACATCCCAAGGAAAGGCAGTCTTTCCCCATCCCTTGATGGACGAGGACTAACGAGATGGGTGAGAGGCTCTGGACCCTGGTGTACGGAACAGCAGTGTGGCAGCCTCTCAACAGCAGCAATCAGAAAAGCCCTTACCGTTCACGGTGATCGTTCCAGTCGTCTGTGGGACCCCTACGAGCGTCACCAGGTACAGACCAGACTCGGCCGGAAGGGAGAGCGCTGCAGGGCGCGACTCGAATTCCACTCCACTGGTCAGCAGCCCCTGCAGCAAGGCACAGAGCAATGTGAGCAGGACCAGCCTGCACCGCACACCTGGCAGCCCAGAACAAGGCAGTGGAAGGCTGCGGCTTCTTAGAACCCACAGAGAACTGCAGAGACCATGCACACGTGACACCCGGGGCAGTCAGATCAACAGCCGCTGCCCTTGATTTTGGTCCTCTCTGCCATGTTTCTGATGTTTGCTTTGCTTTCTTCTTGCACCAAATGGGAATATGAACACAAAGGAAAATTTTTATTTTTCTTTTTTGAAACACTTATATTTATTTGAAAACAAGAGGGAAACAGAGACAGAGAGATCTACTGTTTTACTCCACTAATGGCTGCAATGGGGCTGGGCCAGGCCAAAGCCAGGATCCAGAAGCTTCCTCCTGGTCTCCCACAATCTAAAAGATGTCAACAATCACCAGTCAACTATTAGAAATAAAATGTTTAAAAAAATAACAAACCAAAATTCCAACTATCTTGGAGTAAATCTAACGAATAACGTGCAAGATTTCATCATAGTTACAGAACCCTGCTGAGATAAATTAAAGAACTCAAGACACAGAGAGTCCTGCCCTGTTTGTGGGGTTCCGCTTTCCACAGTTTGCAGTCAAGGCAACCCTCAAACTCTCAGATCCAGGGCCGGCATTGGGGCGTAGCAGGTAAAGCCGCTGCCTACAACACCAGCATCCCATATAGCTGCTGGTTTGCATCCTGGCTGCTCCACTTCTGATCCAGCTGCCTGCCCATGTGCCTGAGAATACAGCAGAAGATGGCCCAAGTGTTTGGGCCTCTGCCACCCATGTGGGAGATCCAGACAGAACTCCTGTCTTCAAGCCTGGCTCAGCCCTGGCTTGGGCGGACACTTGGGGAGTGAACCAGCAAATGGACTCTGTGACTCAACTTTCAAATAAATAAATAATCTTTAAAAAAAAAAAACAAACCTCTTTTATCTGTGGCAGGACAAGGCATGTAAGTGGGTGTGCTGAGAGGAAGGGTGCAAACATGGAACGCAGGAAGGCAAGATGCTGGGCCTCGGTGTGAGTTCAGGGTGTATAAAACCTGCATGCACAGATGTGTGCGTGGTGTAGACAGCTGGGTGTGTGGAATGCACATACACTGTGTCTAACTGTGCACAGGAGACGCCGGCAGCAGAGACACTCTGGGGGCAGTGAGCACGCCTGCCGCCCACATGTGAGGCAAAGGTGTGAAGTGATCTGCGTGTGTGCGTGTGGAGGGGGTGCAGTGGGCAGGATGCACTCAGAGAAGCTGATCGCATGCCTTTCATCTCTAACAGACACACTGGCCTCTCTGTCTTCATAGAACAGCCAGGGCGGTGTGGCCACCGCTGCCTGCCTGAAAGCGGGTGGCGTGTGCACGTCTGAAGTGTTCCATGAGTCAGCTTTCACACAGCACCATGGTATGCTGGCTATATCCAAGTGGTGGTTTTCTCTTGTCTAAGTCTCTACCCTTCCTGATTTTAAAATATGTAATTTATTACTTTTAAACCAGGTAAAAATGCTACTTTTAAAATGAAAAAAAATGTATAAGAAACAGCAGCAATCATCTGACACTTTAACTACTTTGTGGTAAATTCCCCCCTTGGATTCCAAGAGCCAGACAGCCACAGCAGAGGCTGACCATGGCCATGTCCTGAGGCCAGTGAACCCTTGTGCACAGTTGGGGGAACACTGGTCTCAGTCAGTCTCAGGACTGCTGGCTTAACACAGGCTTGGGGAGCAGTCACATGCAGCAGGGCTGCCCAACAGTCCTGGCTTGTGGAAAACTGTGGCTCCACCAGGCAGTCTGGCCCAGCCAGCAGGGCGTCTCTCCCAGGCGCCATGCATCCCCAACACAGCTCATTGTGTTCACACCAGGGATAAGGCCTATAGGCCTTCATCCCCCGGGTCCCACGCACCCTGTACCTGGCACAGGGCATGGCCCTCAGTGAGACACCAGCAGGAAGAGCCTGGTTCTCACCTGGAACACCGTTATGAAACTGGTCGCAGTACAGAGAACCTTGGGAATGGATCCCATGGTAGTCTGAAGGCAGCACAAGTCCCCCAAACAAGCATGGACCAGGGCGTGAATCTTCCACACCCTACATGGTGCAGTAACACAGCACCTCTCTCTACAGCTCCCCCTGCCCTCAATCCCTGTGTCACCTCACAGCAGCACAACAATCTCCAGTAAGCCCCTGTGAACTCCAAAGTGCTGACTTCCAGTCTCACAGCCAATGGGCAAAGCTCTGTGCGTGTACAAGCCCAAGGTTGCTCTGTGCTGTCTACTCGGCAGCAAGCATGAGACACGGTAATGACAAAACACGGACTTCACTCACCAAACGCTTACTATCTTGGCAGCAGACTGTGTGCCAGAATTAGTGCCTCTAACAGTAAGCAAAGACACATTTTAGTGACACGCTGGAGTTCTCGGTCACAGAGGCCCCTGCGGTGGTACATACCATGTTCTGCACTCGAAGCTCAAACAGCATGGGGTTGTACACCATCAGCTGGACTTCACACACGTCCCCTTGAACCCACTGGAAATCTAGACACACACAAAAGAACCCTGGGTTAGCAGGTAGTTTTGAACTTCCCATGGGTTTCAGATCAGCCCGCTGACGATTTTCTTCCCAAAAGGTGGTGGCCGCCATGCCCATTGTGAGTTGGGAAGTTCAGCTTGGTGTGCCCTGCTTTCTCTGAAACCACAAAGCAAGGTATCGCCACTGTCCTGACGCTACACACAGGGTGCCTCCTCCACCCTCTGCAGCGCTCCCGCTGGCACCCAAGGCCCCTCACAAAGCTACAGCTGGACCTGGTGTGGCCCCTTACGGCACACAGCACCCCAAGGGCCCACAGGCTCTCAATGCAGGAAGGCTGGGGTCATTGGCAAGAGGCCCAGAGTGTGGGTCACCTGTGCCCCAAGACCATGACTTCTCCACCCAGCCCACCTCCTTGTCAGTTGTAACTCAGCAGCTGCTGGGGAGACAGCACAGGATCCTGCACAGGATCCAGGACCAGCTCCACCACACCTGTGATGTGACCGGGAACTGGCATCTTGGATCCATTCACAAGATGATGGCACAGAGTAACACAGTGCAGGACCGACTGCCACCTGGTCGGAACCAGCACTTGTCTTATTTTACGAAGGAAAACTTCCTGACAGGTGGGGCAGCCTGCCCATCTTAGGCCCTGATAAATCATTGCTCAGACTCAAACACAAGGCTGTCAGCTCTGGAACCCATGCTCTTCTCCCTCCACAAGCTGCCCCTCAGTAGCTCCTGGGACTCAGGCTGCCCTCTCTCTGCAGGGGTCTGACGTCAGCCTCTGATAAGCTGCAGGGGCTTCTCCACAAAGGAGCCGGGCAGCTGTGCTCATCCCACCTGCCCCCTCCACCCTTAGCAGCCTCCCTTGGCCTGCAAGGGACTGGCACCCCAGCCCACCCCCAACCAAAGATGAGGAACTCATTGTCTCTCTTTTTTTTTTTTTGACAGGCAGAGTGGACAGAGAGAGAGAGAGAGACAGAGAAAGGTCTTGCTTTGCCATTGTTCACCCTCCAATGGCCAGCCGCGGCCGGTGCACACGCTGATCCGATGGCAGGAGCCAGGTACTTCTCCTGGTCTCCCATGGGGTGCAGGGCCCAAGCACTTGGCCCATCCTCCACTGCACTCCTGGCCACAGCAGAGCTGGCCTGGAAGAGGGGCAACCGGGACAGAATCCAGCGCCCCAACCGGGACTACAACCCGGTGTGCCGGCCGCAAGTGGAGGATTAGCCTAGTTAGCCATGCTAGCGAACTCATTGTCTCTTAAACAGTCCTTATGTCTCGTATCACAGATTTGTCTCTCTCATGGTCAAAAATGATCATTGTGCTTTCCAGGGTGCCGAAAAGAGTAATTTGTACTTTGACGGCCTTCGTCCACTACAGGTAAGTCTAAAGTCAATCACTGAGTCTGTGAGAAGTGATTTTTGTCAGAAACAGACAATCCCCTGCCCGTGCCCCTGCCTCAACAGTCCCTCCCTGAAACAGCAAGGGAGCAGGAGTCAGCGGCGGTGAAACCCTGTCTCAGGTTGCCCATCCCCTGCGCCCATTATCATCTGTGCAGACAGGTGCTTCTGTGGCCACGTTGCCTCTGCCTGTGGGAAGAAGCGCTCCTGATTGCCTGCTGCATCCCAGTACCGAGCCCCAGGCACGAGTGCCAGTACAACATCATCTACAGGGACATCAGGAACTCTCTAATCTGACTCCAGCACATGCTCCCATGAGCTCCCGTGTGCCCACAGCATGGAGGGCACACGTGCAGCCCAGGTGGCCCTGTCGGCTGTCCAAGGTCACATGGTGGGTGGGGGTTGCAGGGCTAGGCTGCAACCCAGGCTGCCACGTTCTGTCCAGGCCACCCTGCCTGGCAGCGGTGACCTCAGATGAATCTGGATACCACAAGGTCCTTTCACAAGAGGAGGAATCTCTTCACCCCTCCAGCCTTGCCTGGGACCTTGGTTGCCATCATCTCTGCTCAGCAGGGCCCAGACGAAGCCTGCACACAGGCACTCAGGCCAGAATCAGTGCAGGCGGAGGGCAGGTTGTCAGCACTGGCCCTCAGGGTCTGCCTCACCTCCAGTGCCCAGTTAAAGATGGACTTACAGAGACTAGAATCTCAGGCAAAAGGGACACGAGTCTTCACACTATAGGCAGAAAATTGTCCAAAAGATATCAGAAGTCGTGGAACACAAAGTACATTCTCCTACCCATGATATTCAACAATAATATGCATCTCAGCTGAACCTTCTGTTATAGATATTTCAGAAAAAACAAAGCTTGACATTATCCACTGAATATATGAGACAGGCACTTCTTACTATGATGCAAAACTGTATCACAGAGGACAAGGGTGGAGGGCGTGAGGCATGGCGGTTCAGACACCACTTGGGATGCCTGCATCCCATATCAAATGCCTGGGTTTCAGTCCCTGCTCCACCTCCATTCCAGCTTCCTGCTAACGTGCACCCCGGGAGGCAGGAGGCAGTTTCAGCTTCCTGCTAACACGCACCCTGGGAGGCAGGAGGTGACAGCTTGGTACTCAGGTCCTTGCCACCTGGCATTGAGTTCTGGGCTCCCATCTTTGAACTGGCCCAGCCCTGGCTTTGTAAGCATTTGAAGAGTGAACTTGTGGATGGAAGATCTCTCTCCACGTCTCCCTCCCTCCCTCGCTCTCTCTCTGTCTCTCCCTTTCAAATAAAATGAAAGTAAACAACAGTCCGTCCCTGAGTGCCAGTTCTAAGTCGAGGGAAGGAGACAGGGCCCAGCCATGCCCTGGCTGGCTGGCTCAGGCAGGTGATGTGCACCCCTCAGTTTCCACCCTCTCCGTGAACAGGCACCTGCAGCATCAGCATCCCACACGATGAGAACTCCACCTGGTGTCGGCTTTGGGTCTCATTCACAAAAGGAAGCCTCATCAATTGCTGAAGAACAAAGACAGTAATGAGGCTGGATGCTGGGCATGAGCCACAAGGGCAGAGACTCCAAGCCAGCTCAAGGCCTTGAGTTTAAGGCTCTGTCCTGTCTTTGAATCCTTAATAATGTTGTAACCAGGGGCTCCCCGATCCCCTGCTGTGCTGGCCCTGTGGATCACACAGGTGGCCTCAAGAAGAGGAGCCTGGCCTCCAGCCCCTAAGCCCTCTATACAAGTCTGCTCTAGAGCCTCTCTGGCCCCGCCTCCCCAGTGCACAGTCTTTGCTCAGGCTCAAAGGGGAGGTACCCAGGAGCACCTCTGCCACCGACATCCTGTCTCCCTGTTTGACTTCCTGTCTCACGTTGGTTTTCCATCCAGCCTGCACGAACTGGGTGGGTAGGGGCAGCTGCACCCCTCTGGTTTAGCTCAGTGCAGCCCAGTGTCAATGTGCTTGGAACACTTACCTAGCCAGGAACTGGGCTCACATGATTTACTGAACACTGACAGCAAAGGACAGAATGGTGTATAGGTGGCTGCCACACCACCATGAAGCCATGACGTACCTGATCCCTTAGGAGCCAGGCATAATCTGCAGCTAACTGGGGCCCACACCAGCTGCACGTGCACATTAGAGCAAACCAGAGAGCACCCTGGGAGCGGACCTTGGTCTGGGATGTGTGAGCCCGCTCTTGCTTGTCACTAAGCAGCTAAGTAACCTGTAGGAAACCATCTCTCTGGTCTGTGTTTTTTCTGTCTATAAGAGGAGATAAAAACAACTCCTCCAAAATTAATGCGACAACTAAAGGCACAAAAATATGAGCCAGCCCTCTTTCTCAAGCAGCATCTGAATGAGAAGTGATCTCCAGGGACAGAAAGCACAGGTCTGTCTAGGACTCCCACCTTGTTCTTTCCCTAGCTGAGCAAACAACTTTACTCCAAAGAGCCTGTTTTCAGGGAGTTCTGACAAATGCACTTGTTGGTGATGTTTACGGTGAGGCCCTACTAGAGCTGAGGCCAGCTGGTGCTGGAGTTACAGGAGGAACACTACGATGATGATCTCCACACAGCGCTCCAGTGTCCCTTCTGAGGGAACAACACGGCAC